TTCTAGTAGTTGTGTGTGTCGGATGATGCTTTTGGTGGTTCTGGTTTGCCTTGTAATTATTACATCTTGGAAAATCTATATCGGTGGTATATCTTTGTGATTGCTGTATAAACAGTGCTGAGTGCTAAGTTGATAATGTGTGTTTTCTATTGCGGGATTAATGATAGTGAACAACTTGTCGCTATCATAGTCTCGAAAGGTTACTTTTATCACATCACATGTTTGCGATTCTTATTAATCTCTTAGAATAACTCTCGTATATCAAGTTGACGCCTACTTTGCTTGGACTTATCGTATTCACCAACACCTTGGTGCGTGCTGCCCTATAAAAATCGTCAGGAAATTCCTCAAGAATCGGCCTGTCACTTGGGAAAACCGATTTCGGAACTCACAGAGTTGCTTGTTACACGTATAATCGATTCTGAATTCTACAATTGATTTAACGAACATGGGGTTGGTATTATCTCTTGAGTGGCGATGAGGAACTCTGTCCATCCAAGTGACGCGTACACAAAGAGGTTGACTTAACTTCTGTGGTTTTATAATTATATAAATATCTATCCCTAATAGGGATTATCCCTGTAAGGCTATATATAGGGATTATCCCTATAAGGTTATATATAGGGATTTTCGCTATAAGGTATTATATGATATATCCATAGTTATCTATATAAGGGATGATTATTTATATTTAATATCCACGCGCTCGCATGATTGGGTACCACATGCAAAACTCGATCCTAACAGGGGTCTTGAAACTCAGCAAAGGTTTATTGCAGCCCTTGAGTACGTACTTGAGCAATCTCAACAGCAGTGTTGTGGGAATATACTGTATGTTGATATCAGAAATTTCCTCCCTGATTATAGGAGTTTTCATACTATGAAATTCACATTGTGTAAAAGTATGAAAAAAACCAGCGAAAATTTTCCAATATTTCCTCAGAATTTTCGTATTATCACCAACACATGTTGTTGACTATATATATTTCTATTCCGCAGAGTTGCACGTGAAAAGCCACTCGTGATCGCACATTGGATTCAGCACGAGATTGAAATTTTCATACATACACTGTTTTCCCGAAGGAGTGTGTCGGAGTTTTTCACCCAATTTTCTGCCTCTAATGTGGGACTCATCATCGTCGAGTTCATGGGCGGTCGGAGATGATTTAAATTCTTCGGAAAACTACAAGTCCTTTGAAAGTGCTACTAAGACGATTACGGATGAAAAGTGTAGAAAGGATCCTGTCTCGGGTACTGGTAGGGGAGCTCAGGAGTGAACACAGTGTTGGAGTAGGAATATATGTTTGCTTTCCTCAGCTACTGAGCTCAGGAGTGAACACAGTGTTGGAGTAGGAATATATGTTTGCTTTCCTCAGCTACTGAGCTCAGGAGTGAACACAGTGTTGGAGTAGGAATATATGCTTGCTTTCCTCAGCTACTGAGCTCAGGAGTGAACACAGTGTTGGAGTAGGAATATATGTTTGCTTTCCTCAGCTACTGAGCTCAGGAGTGAACACAGTGTTGGAGTAGGAATATATGTTTGCTTTCCTCAGCTACTGAGCTCAGGAGTGAACACAGTGTTGGAGTAGGAATATATGTTTGCTTTCCTCAGCTACTGAGCTCAGGAGTGAACACAGTGTTGGAGTAGGAATATATGTTTGCTTTCCTCAGCTACTGAGCTCAGGAGTGAACACAGTGTTGGAGTAGGAATATATGTTTGCTTTCCTCAGCTACTGAGCTCAGGAGTGAACACAGTGTTGGAGTAGGAATATATGTTTGCTTTCCTCAGCTACTGAGCTCAGGAGTGAACACAGTGTTGGAGTAGGAATATATGTTTGCTTTCCTCAGCTACTGAGCTCAGGAGTTTCCTCGCTAATTATGGAAATTCACACACGACTTTGAGTAGAAGTGTACAAAAACGAGCGAAATTTGTAATTTCTTCAGAATTTTCCCATTTACATTACACTTGATTTTCCCACGCTAGGACGTAGAATTTCTTGATGAAATTTATGTGCCACACTGTGACCTATTCACCTCCAAGTTTATTCGTATCCTCAAGATTCTCATTTCCGTATTATTCTCTGGGATGACATTAATGTTAGTTGATGATAGCGTGCGTCGATCGGCTTGGAATTCTCCTCGTGTGTGAACTCGATTAGTTTCTGTACACTTCTACCCGAATTCGTATGTAAACTTGCTTTGGAAACTCCTGAGCTTAGCTGAGAGGAGCGAACATATATTCCTACTCCAACACTGGTGTATAGAGTGGCAGACGAAACGTTTTTGTCGGGGTGAAATTATGGAACGTTTTTGTCGGGGTGAAATTATGGAACGTTTTTCACATTTCAGGCGAGACGCGGTGTGAAATAATCCGACGTTTTTACAAGCAAACGCATCCGGGCGGGCCCTTGGAGGAGGTACCATTCACGCGGATACAGTGTGTGTCAATTTGATATGATGCAAATGTGTGTTATTTTCCGAGATTAATAAGAATCGATCTGAAACTATATCGCATAAACAATGTAAGCATTGCTATGAACATGTGCTGTGATAAAAGTAACCTTTCGAGACTATGATAGCAAATAGATTCCCGGAATAGTAAATGCGCATTCTTCATATTTGCATATTATCAAGTTGACATCAGTTTTCCTCATCAGGTGGAATCTACTCGGAGGGAGACTACTAGTCCTCAGCACTGGTCCTCGCTTTTCGAAGATGATGATGATACTATTAATGAGGAAAACAAAGAAGTAATAAAAATACGCATTGGAGTTTCACAACCTGTTTTATGTGAAGTGGCGTAATACTCGGTGAAAAACGCGGTGATATGCAGTAGTCGTGAAATACGTTTTTCACTAGTGTTCTGAAACTTCGTTGTATTAATGAGTGTGTAAAAATATGCACATGGTCAACTACATGTGTTGGAAATTTTGAAATTTCATTGTTGATTTCTTTCCGAATATCTATAAATAGTGAAGGAACTCTCGAGCTCAGTTGAAGAAAGCGCACATATATTCCTCCAACACCGGTTTTGACTTGGTGTATTTTTTCCCGACTTCGGGCTAATTCACTCAGGTTAAATCGTTCCCTGCACTCGACGATGATGTGGGTCATCCTGATGTCCGTCACTTGATGAATTTATTCCATAGACGCCGACGCGAGCCGCCGCATGAGACTATAGTTGTGGAACAAACCAAACCAGGTACTTGCGGAGAAAACTAGTTTTACTTGAATCGGCGAGAGTCAGCGAATCACCTATAATGTTTCCGAGGACAGCATGGAGATATTAGTAACCTTGATAATATATTGGAGTTTCACAAGCCGTTTTACGTGAGGTGGCGTTAAACTCGGTGAAAAACGCGGTATACTGTAGTAGTCGGGAAATATGTTTTTCACTAGTGTTTTTCATATCACTAGGGTGGTGAAACTCCATTGAACAACCAGATTTCAAATGTACTAAATCAGCGTGAGAATATACGTTTGCTTTCCTCAACTGAGCTCATGAGTTTCCTCACTACATTATGAACATTACCCGCCTCTCACACACACGATTTTGGGTAGAAGTGTACAAAAATCAACGATAATTTTCTAAAATTTCCTCATTTTCACCAACTTGTATTCCCACACCGGAGTTGACATGGAAAAAATACAAGTGAAATATATATTTTACATTTCACTTTGTGAAAAACGCATGTAAGCAGAGAATTACGCGTAAAACAGGTGATGTGTGTTACGTGATATGGGGTCATTTGTCCGATGTAATTCGCTTAGTGTTTTCAATTCGCATCATCTGGCGTTTTATCCTTATAATTATGTTTCCTTACGTTTGCTTGCCTCAACTGAGCTCATGAGTTTCCTCACTACATTATGAACACTACCCGCCTCTCACACACACACGATTTTGGGTAGAAGTGTACAAAAACCAACATCCTTATAATTCTATGGATATCTTAATATTGATATTGTAACATATTATACTTTGAGAAATAACGTCCCTCAGGGTTTGATAACAATGGTGAAAATGATGTTACTAATGTGATGACATTTACATGGGAAACTGATTAAAGAATGTTGGAAATTCAAAATGAGTTCCCCTCGGGAACATTATAGGTTTATGCATGATTGGATTTTCGGGAGGGGGAGCAGCTACGAACAGTAGTGCATGGACTAAGCCTGGCGTCGTGAAATTTTGTCTCGATCACAGCGGAGCGAAGCGTTTCATGATGTGCATTTTTGAAATTTCCGTTTTTCAGGTCTAGGAGAGGAGGTTTTCCTAGCCCTATTTGGTTCAATGGTGAAATTAATGTTTCGTCATCTCGAATGTGATTTCGCAACACATGGCACATTTTTCGGAAGTGCGGCGGACCGGAAGGGATCAGGATGCTACGAAGTTTGAGGATATATTTTTTCTTGTGCTATCTTGATACTGTCTCGTAGTTTTTATAAGGACATTGAATATTCCTATGCTGATTTTAGTACTGCAAATGTGAAGAATGTGTGTTTTCTATTCCGGGATTAATGATAGTGAACAACTTGTCGCTATCATAGTCTCGAAAGGTTACTTTTATCACATCACATGTTCATAGCAATGTTTATATTGTTTATGCGATATAGTCATAATATATCGGAAAAAATCACACACATTTGCATCATATCAAATTGACACGCGCTGTAATCGTTGTGAATATATTCCCCACTAAGTTAATCGTCTGAAACTCTAGGCTTCCTTCTGACAATCGTTTCCTGGTGCTTGTTGAGTTCGGGAGTTTTCAGGAAGATATAACTGTTTCAATTGCAGTCTATATAGTACAGTGTTGAAAAATATGCACATGGTCAACTACATGTGTTGATGACAATATGAAAATTTCTGAGAAAATTTCGAGATTTTCAGTGGTTTCTGTACATTTTGAAACGAATTTGTATAATTAGTGAGGAAACTTCCCTGAGCTCAGTTGAGGAAAGCGAACATATATTCCTCGACGCGTTTCGCGTGATAATATTGATACAGCAAGCTGATATACCTCAGCTGATCTCGGAAGAGTTTCCTCACTAATTATAGAAATTCGGGTAGAAATGCAGAAGAAATTCTCAGAATTTTCATACTGTCACCAACACATGTAGTTGACCATGAGCACATTTTCTGAAGTGGAAAATTTACGGTATAATTTCCGCAGTGTTTATATGTCATCATCGTCATCTTCATCATCAAATACCCCCGGCTCGGACGACGATACGAAAAGCGGCCGTAGCAAATCGTCGAATTTTGAATGTAACATATGCTTTGATCAAGCCTCGGAGCCGGTGGTGACACGGTGTGGACATTTGGTAAGTTGGTGGGAATATGAGCTGTAAAATGTGCGATATTCTTTCCGAGATTGATAAGGAGCGCGTGTGAGCACTCAATGGAGTTTCACCCTAGTGATATGAAAAACACTAGTGAATAACATATTTCACGACTACTGCATATCACCGCGAATATCGCGTTTTTCACCGAGTATTACGCCATTCATGTTTCCTTCCAGTTTTGCTGGTCGTGTCTGGACCAATGGCTTGATCGCTCCGGGGAGTGCCCAGTATGTAAAGCTGGAGTGACTCGGTGAGTGGGGGGATAACTGAGGACATGTGTATTCAGTGGAGTTTCATCCTAGTGATATGAAAAACATATTCCACGACTGCTGCATATCACCGCGAATATCACGCCACTTCACGTGGAACGGGTGAGACACCAATGGAATTTCAGCTGTTTCACGTGAAGTGGCGTAATACTCTATGTGAAAAACGCCAGATGATGCGAATTGAAAATACTGAGCGAATTACAGCGGACAAATGACCCCATATCACGTAACACACATCACGTGTTTTACGCGTAATTCTCTGCTTACATGCGTTTTTCCCAAAGTGAAATGTAAAATATATATTTCACTTGTATTTTTTCCATGTCAACTCCGGTGTGGGAATACAAGTTGGTGAAAATGAGGAAATTTTAGAAAATTATCGTTAATTTTTGTACACTTCTACCCAAAATCGTGTGTATGAGAGGCGGGTAATGTTCATAATGTAGTGAGGAAACTCATGAGCTCAGTTGAGGCAAGCAAAC